GATAGATAGATAGATAGATAGATAGATAGATAGATAGATAGATAGATAGATAGATAGATAGATAGATAGATAGATAGATAGATAAAAGACACATTGCATGTGTTTGAGCTTCTATTTTGTCTTTTCTGAAACTTGTTCTGTTTACCCAGGTGGTGTTTCTCATTTGCAAAACGTGTTTTTCTTGCGTAAGTGTTCGTAAAAAAAGCAATTATGCATGTTTATCCTTCCGCATAAGTGTTCCCTCGCTAGTGTGCGAATCGCTAAGTTTATGTGCTTGTTTTAGTGGACACTTATTTGTCTGTTATTCTCAATGTGTATTGGGAGACCGGGAGCATAACGAAAAAAAAATCAGATTTATTAAAAGTGTGCATGTGTTTATTATCAGTCTGTCCTTTTGAGTTTTTATTTAGTATGAACGGATTAGTTATTGGTATCAATAAATTGAATTTATGTATCAAAATGGTATCATTATCGTAGGTTCACAGTGGTACAGAGCTGCTTTTTGCACTTTATATTTGCTTGAAAATTATGAATAGAATTGTTGATAATGGAATACGAAGTTAGCTCAGTTGACATCATTCTGGACTGTGGTGCGACTGGCCTTGGCTTGAACCTCCAGTGAGGCTTTTTTAAAAATTGGATTGTTTGGAGGAGTTTTCAATGTTCTCCACACACTTGGCTTTGCTTTATCAGCGATTGACGTTAAATAAGGAGGTCCCACCTTTTAAATAATGTTAGTGTTGACAGATGCGTTAGACCCAAACAACAACCACTACTACAACTACTACGGTTCATAAAAATGCGAACGTGCCGTGTGTGAGTTGGGCATTGTGTACTTTTTGACACACATGTGTGTTCAATGATCTGTGCGTGAGGTCTGTGGCAGGCAGCGATTCATTGACGTGAAAGCTTCAGAGTCATGTGATGCGTGCTAGATCCACAGAATTAGGAACACAAACAGAAAGTGCGGTTAGACTTCAGGAAGAGTGCATATTGGCAATGAAAACCTGAGTAGATAGTTGGCACAGGACATTCTAAGAATGAAAATAATATGTCATGATCAGACAAATAGGAATATTTATTTAATCAGCGAGAACAAGACTTTTAGAAATACATGTAGTATCATCACTAAAATTATGCCTTTTCCTCTGTATTTAAAAATAAACACCAAAAGAGTTCGTGGCTTAACCTTGACACTGAAAAATAAGTAGAAGTATAACGTAAAAAAGCTCACTTGATTCGAACTACAAATATATCATAATTTTTCATGCAATGGCATGCTAAGGCATGAAATAAGTCATGAAACTATGATATAAAAACGAAGAAAGAATTTTATAATATTTTATACATTATGTACCCCGGGGAAAAAGTGGTCAAAAAAGCATACCGTGGCCGGCCGTCCTGATGCTCAGCCCTGTTTTTGCAATGTCCTGTTTATGCATGAATCTCAGTGACTACCCTTGACAACAACTGAAATTGACGTGTAAACAACTTCATCTAAAACTCAACCACTGGGACAGCCACTAAATACCGTAATTCATCAGTTGCTTTCATCCATAACACACCATATCCTTGATGCAGTTTTACATCTAAGGAATTATCTTCATAATTGCAGGGTAGGTAATCTTGACAGCACTGGTCTTCATTCATCAATATTTATTTCATCCATGGCGCACTCTTTCCCTACTGCTATAATTCTGCGACACACGACTAGATTCCGGTATTGATCTTACGATAGACTCATTCATTACGCCGTTACCTCCGAGTGTGCCTCGGCTGATAGATTCACATAGCTAATGATTGTTTGTGCAAATGTTTATTATCTAGGTTTTATGTCGCCAAATTTCCCAGCGGGAATCAATAAACGTTATCTTTTCTCTTCTTCTTCCTTTCTTCGTTTATCATGCTGTTTGCCTATTTTTAACAACCTTCGCTTCTGTGGGACTGATTTGAAAGGCATGTCTATTCAGACCTATTCATTTCTAATCCCAATGATTTCTGTCTGTCATCTTCCTTTCCTCTTAAACAAAAAAAATGTGCTAACATTATTGCCCTCTCATTCAGCTTTTACATAAAGCCCCGTTTTGAGTTTTCATGTTTTACACCTTCTACCTTCTAATTCGCTGTCGCCATGTTCCCCATTCGCGTCTTTTACTTGATTTTGAAAAACAAATTGGTATTGATGGGCTTTGGGGAAGGGGGGGGGGGGGGATAAAGTTTGTTAAATGATTTGTTGATGGATCTGCGAATATTCTCTCTGCAGGCTTGGGCACACAATGCTATTTTTTTCCCATAAAAGTTTCACTGTTCTTTCTTCGCATCATGTCGTATTTGCTGTAGAACATGTGTCCCACGAGAGCGACTGAAAGTTTGAAATAGATAGATAGATAGATAGATAGATAGAGAAAGAGAGAGAGATAGAGAGAGATAGAGAGAGAGAGAGAGAGAGAGAGAGAGAGAGAGAGAGAGAGAGAGAGAGAAAGTCTTCAGATGGAAAAGAAAGTACACTACTTGTCTGTAAATGTTGGAGATACCTGGCTGAACAAAATGAGTACATATCAAATATCGAATTCTTAAATAAAATCAAATGAAATAAAACGGCGGAAAAAGGGGGGGGGGGGGGGGATGAGTGAATAGAGCTTCGATTTAGTTCGCAGGATATTTTTTAAGCCGAATGCTTGATACACCGATGTTCTTCCATATTGTGAAAACGACATCCCCGCTGGTGTATACAGAACGATAACTATTTTGATCATTTTAAAACCAAATGCTTCGTGTTAACTCTTTGAAGACGTAGCGGTCACATATGTCCGATCAGCAGCAGACCAAAGCCAATGTTACTGCACATACCATCATACACAAATCAGAAACATAAATTTGTGATGTTCACAGCATCCATGTAATTGCCTGCATTTTCTAGAGTTTTAAATAGACAAAAGAGAATTTAAAAGTCTGTATGAATAAGAATGCTATGCCTCTTTTTTCCTACCCCAAAACAGCTTGTCCTCAATGGGTTAAGAATACGTGAGATCCACAGGGAACCACATCACCTGCGTCATCAGTCGACGATGGAAGAACAGATTTAGACGCCAATAAAAGAGTTTCACTTAGCGATCACAACGATCAACCTGGGTCTGCGAGGAGAATGGCTTTGAAAAACTATGCGAAAACATCAATGATTTTATATACAGATAAATCTCTGACTTTACGTGGGTCAGGTTTCCAACAGCAACTAAATGGATAAGCAGGAGCACTGTCCTATCATTTGCTATGTGTTCTATTTCGCAAAGATGGATTTATATCGGTATACAAATAATTTTCATCATCTGATATTTTTGTTTTGAAGACAATTTATCCTCTCGGGAGATGTTTAGCAGAACTAGGGTGTTTAAAAAAATAATAATGGCAACTTATTATACTATTTTGTGCTGAACCTTGAAGAATCGGTCGATTCTTATAATCTTTAAAATCTCCAATTTTTGGAATGCTTAATGAACGTTACCCCCCTCCGTCGCCCTCCTCTCCACCAGTCTTCCTTATTTCGATTCCCTCACAATAGCGTATTTCTTATGATTAGAACACTGTCTGTTCTATACTTAAACCTTTGTCATTGCTATATAATATTCTTAACTATTTATCTGTTTTTTTTTGTTCTAATGTCTGGTTACCTTTCTGCCTTAAAACGTCTCCGTGAGCCTATCTCTGTCAGCCCGTCTATCTGTCTGATAATCAGGTAGTTTATCAGTCAGTCAGTCAGCCAATCAGTTAATCTTTCTGTCCGTTGCACTCCTCCCTCCTTTCTTTATCTGTAAATCTATTTGTCTGTCTGTCTGTCTGTCTGTCTGTCTGTCTGTCTGTCTGTCTGTCTGTCTATGTGTCTGTTTGTCTGTGTACTAGTTAGTCTGTCTGTCTGTCTGTCTGTTTGTCTGTTTGCTTTTCAGTATATTTTGTTTGCCCACCTCTTTCTCCCCCCTCTCAATCTCTCACAGTCTCTCGCACTGTCATCCGCCGACTTAAAAGTAATGAGTTAAAGAAAAAAAAATCTGGAGGCTTTTTTTCTGTTTCAAGCCCTGACTATGACTTTTTCTTCTTTTAGGAGAGTTCCATTTTATTCGATCTCCAAACTTTCTTATTTGAATAAGATTTGAGTGTCTTTCTCCTCCACGCAGACACTGATTAGGTTAGTTATCCAGCGGGCGTTTTTGAACTAGATCTAGTCCATACCCGTGCTTTTTAAGCTGCGGCGGCGGAAGGAACGGCTGTAAAGGCTCTTTCAAAAAATTGCTAGACGTTGTTTTCTCGAAAATGCAAATGAGTCAGTGTTTACCGGACAGATCTGACTTTTTGCTTCCAAGGCTGGTGTTTGATGATATAAGATGTTTTCTTAAAAAAATAATTTGTTGAGTACAGCTTGATCATTCCAACCATCAAACGTTCCATCAACATACTTTCTTCTGGAACAAACTGAGCGCTTTTCCCTTCCATCCTGTCGCTGAGATATCCCATATTTCTTCCCCAGAGCGTCCATGCCAGACAGTTCAGGTTGTGTCTGACAACGGAGCGATCAGGGTCTTCGAGGTGGCTGAGGAAGGCGATTGAAACTTCAAGAATGTCAAAGTGAAAAGCAGAGTTTATCAACAGATGTCAAAGGGCAGACAGGCCTGTCTCCACTAAAGCCAAGTATATCTGATGACAGCAAGAGTTAGCTCAATAGGCAGGATATCAGACGGCGGTGCTGGCATCCAAAGTTAGAACTCGTCCCCAAAAGTAGTTTGTTTGACAAATGTTTACAGTTTTTCTTTCCCATTGAAAAGACAATGGAGTTGCCGCTTCTAACTTTGCATAGAAATAGCGGAAAACGTTAAGACTAACTCGTATTTGTCTCTCAGCTAGAGGAACACAATGTTATTTTTCGTTGTAGAAAATCAAAGCGCACAACCCCACCATTAATGGTACTCAGAATTTGACAGGCGGTCGCTCTATCTTCATTTTGCAAGGGATTCTGAAAGTACATGTTTGGTGTAAGAGCTTAGGTCAGTTGTGCAGTCTGTATTAAGCACAAGAAAAAGCAACATAGAGTCAATGAACAGAAAACCCCCAAAGTACTTAGATATTTAGCAACAAAGTGCCACAGGGCAGAAGCAAACGAGAAGTAAAAGTATAAATACCAAATTAACATCATCATGTCGACGGCTTCCTCCTCGAGCAGAAGTCAAAACAGCTTTGCCCGCCCCACAAAACTGACAGGGGACTCCGATGATGAGAAGACAGACCTGCGTCTCAAACTGGACAGTTTGAACATGCGCGTGCAGACACCGACCTACATTTATGTGCTCACCTTCTTCGCTGCGCTAGGGGGCTTTCTCTTTGGTTATGATACAGGCGTCATCTCAGGAGCCATGATTTTGCTGAGGAATTCTTTCAGGTACGGATTGTTTGGATACTGTCGAAACATTTGTGACCGAACACACCCTGCTTTCCTCGCTATTCACTTTTCTAAACAGATGCTGTCAAAATGACCCCTCTTTAATAATATCTTACCCAATCTCATTTTCGTATACATGTGCTTTTTTGGGGGTTGGGTATCTTGTAGTGCTTGTATCATGCTGGACTGAGATCAAATTCCCAATGAGTATCAAATTTGAAGTTGGGTTGCTCCAGGGAATTCCATAGCTCGATCATATCAAAGCTGGGAGGGAACTCAAGGTTCAGCTTCTAATATGACTTTACAGTGCCTCAACAAAAGTCAGATTTGAACAGTGCTCGACCAAATAAGCGTTCTTTAACTCATCAAAGTCATTGCTTTATCCCACTCACCTTCTCATTCTACAAAACAACATTCGCCTCTACACTTTCGTGCCAAAGGGTAATACATCTTGCCTCTTAAATGGCTCGCTTTCGATCGTGTCCTGATGGACAGTAATCGTTCAGTAATGGAGCGCCTGTCTCCAAAACGACCCCACAAAGCTTCAACGAAGACTTGTTTACGAAACTCTGATGTACCCGATACCCATGATAATCGACAACAAGGATATCGCTTTCAGAGTAAAAGCGGCGTGACTGAGTTGAAACTTGTCTCTACGTTGTCCATTTTCCCCAAACGAAGACAAGCTAGCAATTATAGAACACGCATACTCGTAAGCGTATATGCACTGGTACATTGAATGTCTATTTTCGACATTGCGCGGGAGAAAAGCAAATTATACATTAATCATTATCTATCTTTTCTTGTTCTGTCCCGTCTCACCAGGTGGCTTAAAGGTCACAAGTAGTTTTTCTTTCTTTCTTCTTTTATAACATTTTAAAACTATCTGTCTATATTCTTACTCCTCTCACAACTCCATGTGACCATCATAATGGCGATGTTCTTAAAAAAAAGCAATAAAACAATTCTGACACAATTCTCCCCCCCCCCCACCCCAACATTTTCTTAGCCTGTCGTCAGTATGGCAAGAACTCATCGTGAGCGTCACTATCGGAGCAGCAGCCATCTTTGCCTTGATCGGCGGCTTCCTTAACGACCGTCTAGGTCGCCGTCCAGTCATCATGGGAGCTTCGCTTTTGTTCACACTCGGCTCCGTCATGATGGCGGTCGCCAAGGATAAGTTTGCTCTTCTGGCTGGCCGGATTGTCGTTGGTGCTGGCATAGGTGAGTACTGAGTGCGCTTCACCCTCTGCTCATCCTAGTCTCTGTCTGTCTGGAAGCAAATCCTGCCCTCTCATTTACACGTTGTCCTTCCATCTATTTTCCCATCACGTGTGTCTATTAGTAGGACTATTTGCAGTTCTTGAGAAATTCAAATGTGACTCGACAGAACGCTTGAGTTTTTTTTGTTGAAGATGAGCCATCATGTCAAATCCGTTAAAAAAGAATTTCGTTTTAGAAACCAGGTTCTGCCAGTTAGAGTGAACCATTTAACCACGAGTCAGTTTGCAGGACTCAAGGACCGATGACCACATGTTTGTCTCTAACTGTTAGCTCTTTGTTGAATTTGTCGTGGAAGCACAGCGGAACAATGGTGGCGCGTTATGACGGTTATGATACTTGATGGTTCAAGAACTGCCAAGACCTACATGGTCAGCTGCGGGACATTTTGCCCAGCGTCACTTTCTGGGGGCCTCTTGTATGTGCACATATGAATGTCACTCACCCCTGTGTCAGTACAACAATCTTGATAAAGCCGAATTTGTACCAAAAATGGTTCACATTTAGATCTAGATGTGAATCGTTTAAACATATAAAACCTCTTTCGAGGTATCCAAGGCTCGTAGACGAGACAAGACTTTGAGTATGTGTGATTCTGAGATCATTGCACCCGCGCATAACACGGCTGCTAATTCTGTCTGTCGACTAGTTGTCCCACCTGCCTTTAGTACTCATTCACCGAAAGTGTGTCATTACGCTTCTCTTTCCCAATCAGTTAGTCAATTAGTCAAGCAATGAGTCTGTTTGAAAGGTCAGGAAGGATGCAGACCGAATCAGTCGGGGGGGGGGTATTTTTGTTTGTCGTCAATGCTTTTCTATCTATATTTCCCTTCAAACTTCCATCTATCTTGGATTCAGTATGCTCATATTGGATTTCGATAGATAGAGATAGACATACAGACGAATGTAACGTACAAAACTGTAAAGGGAAAAGTGATAATAGTTTTTTGTGGTTGTGAAGAAAGGGGATGATAACATTACTGATAGTGCTGATATTACTGGTTCTTGTGCTAGTGAAATTACTAGTGAACGTGAAATTGTTGGTGGAACTGTTTATATTTATTGTGGCAATCCATAATGCTGATCTTTGAACTATAGCTTCCAGTGTACGTCCATTGAAAGGACAACGTATTGAAAGAAAATTATGATTTGGTAGGGATGAGTTTTTTCCTTTTGATTTTTAGGGAGAGGGAAAGGGGAGGGGGTGGGGGGGGGGAGAGGAGAGGGGAGTCGATCTTGAAACGATAAAACAGGGCAGCGAAATGCCACGGACTATGGATTCTGTACTAATGACATCGAGCGAGTTTTGCGGTAGTAAATTTCTGGAGTGGCCCGGGGAAATGGTAGGCTAAAGTACGCAGGACGTTGAAACTGCGGACACACAGAGATGGCCACTTTTGCTTTTTTTGGAAGTGGTTT